GGGGAAGGGGAGAGAGAGAGGGGTGAATGAGTTAGATTGAGTGGAGTTTGACTGAGTGGGATTAGTGATTGTAAGAGAGCCTCTGAGAGGCACAGTAATTTGTTTTTAATTGTTTTTTTTTAATTTGATACATGTGGTTAATACTTGAAACTTAGTATTGTATAAATCTATTGACTTATCAGCAATTGCATAAATATATACAGTATTTACAAATGGTCTCCACAAATACAAGGAAAACTATCTGAAAAGCAAAAAAGGAATCTTTCTATACAATTGACAATTGAAGTAGATTGCATTAACAGGCTCTATATCCTACATTCTACCTATTGAGAAAATGTAAGAACAATTTACAATGACCAAGTCAGGAGATTGAAATCAAGTATATACAAAACACAAGAATTATTTCTTTTTCAGAATCACTAAAAAAAGAATAAATTGATAAACACTTTTAGGCTGTAATAAAACAATGAATACAGATAGACGAAGCTTATAATGAATATTCTTAACTTTTGCCAAACAGTTTGTAACAGATTATCTCCAGGTCTCCTATTAATATAACACTTTTTATTTTTTTTAACAGTATCTTCATGTAGGTAATATTTGGTAAAATCTCTAAGAATAGTAGTGTGTTTGAATTTATTAAGTTGAATTTTTATGGAAATAAATTCATTTATATTGCCTATATTTCTTCATAGATGACAAAAGAGTTTGTTGTACTTTTGTAAAAAATTATAAAAACTCAATGCAACATTTAGGGAAGTAAAAAGTACCAATTGCAATCTTGAGGCAAAAAAAGAGAAAATCTCAGCATGTTTTGTTGGTAGACTAAAATCACCAAAATCAACATTTATATACAAAGAGAAAATATTAAAATACAAACAACCTGAATTCACTTTTTTTCTTTTTTTCTTCTTTACAACCTCTAGGTCTCCGTTTTGTTCAAGTAACTAATCATAAGAATAGTGGTAATATCAATAGTAATAATAATAACAATAACAACAATAATAATAATAATAATAATAATAAAAATAATAATAATAAAAATAATAAAAATAATAAAAATAATAAAAATAATAATAATAATAATAATAATAATAATAATAATAATAATAATAATAATTTACCCACTTCATAACTAAGGGAAATTGAAATATTACAGTTCTCTGAACTATACAAGAAAGTTTTGGGCAGTTGGTTATCAAGAGCGGAATTACATAAAATCATAATGAAAAAAATTAAAGTAACAATATTATTTCAAAAACATGTATTGTCTGGAAGAAAGTTCTGCAAATTTATTGACTGATCTTTAACAAACGTTCTCATGCTATTGGTACAATAAAGCTTATAAGAAACATCAAATACTTCAATTTCATTTGTTGGTACAATGTTGTATATGAAAAGGGTCAGAACACACAAGGTTGCTAACACCCAACAAATGGAATCTTGCACCAGAGATTTTACAGAATTTACATGAATACATCCATGCAAGATAAATTAAACGAAAATCAAAATACAATTATTGACATATAAGACATGAATTCTCACCTCTTGTATTCTGTATATTTGGATCTATACCATTTTGCAATAATAATACAGCTACTTCCTTATGACCACGATATGCTGCACAATGAAGACATGAATTTCCCTGAGCATCTACACAATTAATACTGGGCGGATGTTCGTCTTTAAGCTGCAAGAGAAAGAAAATAATAACTATATCTTTTTGATTTAAGTATTTGTTAATTTTACAAATTAGACAGCTCAATTACAATTGTCAGTGAACTGTAAGAGAAGAAAATAAGTGACAAGCGGTAAAAAGAATGTAGAACATTTTTTCACATGAAGATATTATAAATTTACAAATCTAATAAGAAACAAATTTAAAACATTTTGCTGTTGATAAAAAACCTAACAGACATGATTAGCAGTTTCACAGACACAAGCTCCCTTTAAAAATTCTGAGGAAAGGAAAACTATAAGACTTTTTTTTCAAAACTTTTCTGTGTAAAACTTAAATATGTAGAACAAAATTTAAATGAAAGAGGAAAACAGACTTTATTGACAATTTGCTCTGAAATTAAAGTCAAGAGATTGAAAGGAGTGTCTAAAAATTATGATTTCATCACCATTGTATAATTAACACAAATTGTACCTATCATGAGCTGAAACATTGTTCTTATTACACAAACGTTTTTCCAAAAATTCTTACCTACAATTCACATGGTACTGTTCAAAGTGACCACTTGTTGGAACCTAACTCACACTCTCATAAAGGAGCAAATGAACAATGTTTGAGGTTCCAAGCTAAAGCTAAAATATTTTTGGGCCTGAATCTGCCCCTGACTTCAGTACACTGACGCTGGCCCCCTTAAATCTAAAAAGAATATATAGAAAACTTTAATTTTTTACTAGGAGCAGAATTTGTGACTAGGTACTAGTAAATGTACATCCATTTAAGACACATGAGAAACCATCTCTTCTGTGTTTTTCAACTATTTATAAATATAGTACCTACAACCTTCTGGCTTAGGAATAATGTAACACCTTACAAGCGGGCGATGGTGTAACGGTTGGCGTATTGGACTGTTATACCCAAATTGGCAGGTTCAAACCCGATAGAAGCCGTGGATTTTTAAAGGCGAAAAAATCCTTCGTACGCCTTCCTTCGGAAGGGAAGTAAAGCCGGCTGTCCAATGATAATAGATTTACTTGCATGTAAAAGATCCAAGCTAAATGACGCCTCTGGGTTAAATTCAAAATCGCCTGTTTCTCGCCCACGAAATACCTCCTTGCTCTGCTACTTGGTGAAACGAGCGTAGCGAAATTTGGGTGGTCAGACGGAAGAGCGGCCACTCTCGCCACGTAAAATAAGACAATTCAATTCAAATGTAAGAATTATTATATGTATAGTAACTAGTGGAGTTAAAACAACACTCACTTTCTCCCTCGTATACTTTTCATGCAAAATTACCCAAAAAGCACTCAAGTTTTCGAAAAATTGTATGTAACCTTATTTCAAAATTTATCTTCAAGGAAAAGATTTCACTACGGGGAAAAAAATCTCTGCCTTCAGTATTTTAGTTGTAGGAAGACTCTGAACAAATTTTGATTTTTGCAATTTTAGAAAAAAATTGTGTTTTTAACATGGGACCTGCACTATTCACATTATCCAACGAAAAACTATAATCAAAAACGATGGAACATTTTTTTCGAAAATTTGGAAGATGTCCCAGGGGCCTCAAGTAAAGTGGCCCCGAAATTGAAAAACACATTATATGTTACTGTGGGACTTCCCCTATTGAATGAAGTGAGTGTGGTCACGATGTGTCAAAATGTCTGAGAGCCATGTTTAACACTGACGATTCAAGCAATGACACTTCGAGCGATAACATACTTGAACACTCGTAACAAGAGCAGCTCCCACACTTCCTCAGATTCACAGACGAAATGTGCAGAGTGATAAAGAGGAAGGCGTCACGTTTTACTTCGATGTTGGTTACTGTTTCACACGGTAATAAATATTTCCGCCATTTTAACACAGTTATTTTTCACTTTTTACGCTCATAAAAATTAATGTTTTCCTGTTTTCCCGAAAACTATAATTTTCAACGGGATTTTTTTTTGCCCAAAAGGCTCTGTAGATGTGGCCGTGTTGGACGCACCCGGCCGAAATAAATTATCTACACTTTAATAACAATCCTACAACTTCCTCGCGAATCGTAAACATACTAAACTTATTCCAAAAAAACTCCTACTAAACTAATACCGATCCAAATAAAATTATTTTTAAACAACAAAATATCGTAATTCTAAAAACACACATAAATCTATGACTACTCGATTTTAATAATACACCTGCCAATACCATAAAAGAGAAGAGTCCATGGCGGCGGAGACAGTAAGGACGGGAGAGAGTAAGCAAACCGCCTAATAATGTCACCACTAACATTTAATACTGATCCCCTCTTTATATACACGAGAAAAACGCCAAACTCTAGACTGAAGTGATTTAATGTTTTCTTTAATCGAACTGTTGTGGTTAAATTGTCTTCGCGAAAACTTATAAAATATTACAACGTGAGTACCTATTTGTTTCTCGTCTATTCTCTTCTCTCTGAAAACCAAATTAATATTTAAAACACTTCTCGTATTTATCGCTATAGTGACGTTAGAATAACGCTTGATTCTGTGTCTCAGAATATGATACTTCAGAGTGTGTAGAGCGGCTGATATTTGTCAATTTTTGTAAATACACGTGTGATGTGTAATTTCACAACACGAGATTTCTCATGTCGCGTTTGCCCCTGGTTGGTAGGCAACTCGTCGTTCTCTGGTGTTTCGCGGGTATACGAAATCCGGTATATGAGTTATTCATACTTTTGCGAGTATGGAACAGAAAAGAGCTGATTTTCTCCAGAGAGATGTATACATCTGTAACTTCACTTTTGAAATATCCACCGTTTCCAATTAAATAACTTCGTGTATGAAATGATCTAAAGACCCATACCACATTGATTTTCTGCATTTCATACGTAGCTGAACGGTTGTTCCACGACCGATAAGTAATTATCGGTCAACGACGCATTATGTCTATTCTGCACTTAAGCATATCGCAAAGGCAAAGAAATCAAAATTGCACTGTAGACTTTGTGATCACTTGAAAACAAAAAACGCGACGCACACAAAACATGCCGATACACCTCAGCACCTCCACACAAAATAAGCGAAAAACCAGTTATTTTGAGATAAGAAAGCTTCAATATTTTTATTTGGCCTGAAGTGTGGAGATACTGAGTTTTTACGCTAGAGAAATTATTGTACATACTAAAGATGTTCTCGAATAAGTCTGGTTTACAGGTGTACATTGGTGGAATAGCCCATAGTACGAATGGTATGGGCTATTGGTGGAATATTGTATTCACAATAGTGCATACAAGCATTTTTGAAAAGAATGCTCGTTACCGTCTTTTGGTATGGAGCAGCCTCCATGTCATAATACACATATTTCTAAAATATCCCAAGTATTTGGAGCGTCTAAAATTAATTCACAGATACGCATACATATACTTCATTTTACAATAAAAGATTCATCTCGAGCACATGTCAAGCGGTTCGACACTCACAATCCGTATAAATGAATAAAATAAAAGAAAGGTTTGAATATTCCATGCCAATGAAGGCAAACAACTACGGCTTCTGGTACCAAATCGGCCCTTTCAATCGTTGAAGGAGTTTTTGAAGATGTTACGAGTATACTTTTGAACAATGAAAATTTTATACAGTATTGTAGGAATTATCGGAACTAGTAAATAAAGAAGAGCTGCATCATTAGTATGTTCAAGAAAACGAGCAACGACAGGACCAAGTTTACTTATTTATCAGGAGTGCAATTATGCCTATTTGTCCATGAGTTACGTTCAATTTGTTTCATTTTTCCATTTCGGAATAATTTTAATTTTGAGAAATACGAGCATACATTTTTCACTCAAGGCATACATTCGATGACGTCATATTCTTTTTGAACCGAAACCTTCGTTATAATAACGAATAATAACGACTTCACGAATGTTACGCCTGAACGTGACGTTCTTAATTAGACCAATTTTAGTGGGCTTTGCTTTGACTACTAATGATCACCATAGTGACTTAGAGGATAAGAAAACATGAAAGATATCGATCAAATTGCAAAGCGGATATTAGATGAGAAAACAATGCCTATTTTATTTCCAAGCAAAAGTGAATACACACGCGAGATAATATAATATTTATAGTTCTTGGAAAATGGTAAGGCGAATCACGACTAATTCAGAGGAGTTTTTGCTTGTATACTTATCAGGAAGGGTAAATACCACTAATGTTCATATTTTTAGTATTTGTAATTACACCGAATATGTTTTACATCTATACATTCAATTTATTCGTGTTACATATTTTATGATGTTCCGGTAGACACCAACGTGTCAAACCAACATCCTTTTCGCAGTACTTATCTATGCTGAAGACGTTGCGTGTAAAAGACAATACTGATATTTCATAATCCAAAGCGAAGTCTAAGTATGATAATATTCTCCACTTTCAGTTATTGTACTTTGTATATTAATATTTCTAGAAATAGTACTAATTAAGAATTTGTACGTAAATATTTCATATTGATGATCTATATAGTGTGTGATGAGTATTTTTTTGATTTGTGAGCACATTGACTTAATTACGGGATTTTTACCTTCAGTTGTTATTGGTAGTTGTGAAGTTTCAATTCCACGCGTGTAATTAATAAAGCGATAATAATTTTTCGTGAAATTAGTCATTTTAATTTACTGAATGAAAAAATGGCCAAAAAGTTCCCATTTAATTAACTTGGAAAAGTAAATTGAGACATTTCATTGGTTGATGCGACAACGTATTGTCAACAGACTTCATTTAATTTCTTGAATATTGTAGTATACAATATTATATTTGTAGAATAAGTGTGTGAGAAAGAAAGTGTAATGGAACATACTAAGCTAAACGTGATGAATTAATGAAAAATTAAAGATATGGATACAGATGAAAGCACTGTTCGGGTGGTGCAGTGGCACTGCGTCGGCGCCCTTCCAATCATGACGTCCTCCACAGTACAAGGATTCCATGTTCCAGGATTCAACTCTGTACGAGTGACAAAAGAAACTAAAGCGTGGAGATTGCAACACT